ATCAAAGCCTATTGGATTACTTGTTTTTAACCAGGACAGAAGAATTTATAACTTACTTTTTCGTACATAACATATGTACAGCAGATCCCCTTATTGTATGGGACACTTTTAAATGTGCCTTTAGAGGCCATGCAATTCAATACTCAACAAAAGCAATTTAAGTCAAAATAATCCATGTTAAGAAAGGTAATAGAGGGACTAACAGTACAGATAGATAGCAATAAAAACAGGACCATAGAGGCACAGCATACGTTAGAGGAAAAATAAATGGTGGAACTTATTCAAGAAAGATCAAGTGTAATATATTATCAAAATAAAGCAAACTGGATGGAATATGGGGAAAAATTCAACCAAATTTTTTTTACATCTTCAACATAGAAATGCTACCAAAAACAATTTACTGAAACTTGTTACAAATGACAGAGTCACCCATGATTCACCAAACTATATTTTGAAAGAGGAAGCAAAGTACTTTAAGCATATATTTTCGTTTCAGTCTCCTCCATCTCCACTAACCGAAGTTAATTGTACGTTTTTTCCCCCTTATGAATAATGTAAAATTAACAGCTGTACAGAAAGACTCATGTGAAGGCCAAATTACAGAGGAGGAACTTATTGATGCCATTAAAGCCTTTAAGTCCGGGAAAACTCCAGGGTTGGATGGCATACCAGTTGAGGTATACCAAACCTTTTTTGATGTACTCAGAGGACCGTTATTAGAATGTTTTAACCACTCCTATAAAAATGGTAGATTATCAGATACTCAACAAGAAGGTCTGATTTCATTATTACTGAAACAGGACCCAAGTAGTAAATATAAAGATCCAGTCCGTTTATAAAATTGGATGCCCCTTACACTTCAGTGTTGTGATGCAAAAATTCTAGCAATGTACATAGCGCTTAGAATTAAAAAGGTATTGTCGGATATTATTCATCCTAATCAGACAGGTTTTTTACATGGACGATACATTGGAGATTATATAAGACAAGTACTGGAAACAATAGAACACTATGGAAAATCTGGGAAACTAGGCCTGGTATTCATAGCTGATTTCGAAAAGGCTTTTGATAAAGTACGACTGGAATGTATATATAAATGCTTGGAATATTTCAATTTTGGAGAATCTCTTATACAATGGGTTAAAGTTATATATAGTAACCTTAGGTGTAAATAATGGCTACTTTTCAGAAAGTATTAAACTGTCAAGAGGAGTAAAACAAGGTTGTCCACTATCGGCATATCTATTTATTATGGCCATCGAAATGTTAGTTATTAAAATCAGATCCAACAATAATATCAAGGGCCTAGAAATCCAGGGCTTAAAAACAATGGTGTCATTGTACGCTGATGATTCATGTTTCTTTTAAATCCTCAATTTGGATCCCTCCACAGCCTCATAGATGATCTGGATACTTTTTCTAACCTCTGGATTACAACCAAATTATGATACGTGTACTATATTACGTATTGAATCATTAACAAATACAACTTTTACATTACAGTGTAGTTTACCAGTAAAATGGTCTGACGGAGAAGTGGACATACTCTTAGCAAAAATAGATAAGATCTTGCTACCATGGAAAGGAAAATGCCTGTCTATTTGTGGAAAAATCACCCTGATTAACTATTTTTAGTCATATCCCAGTTTACCTATTTGCTTATGGCCTTGCCTACACCTAGCCACTTGTTTTTTAAATTATATGAGCAAAAAATAAGACATTTGATTTGGAACGGCAAGCCAGGCAAAATTTAATGGGCCTATTTATATAATGAATATGAATTCGGAGGGCAGAAATGATTAAATATTAAAGCATTAGACCTCTCACTAAAGGCTTCAGTCATTCAAAGGTTGTCTCACCCCATGTTCAAGAATGGCCTTTTCCCCTTTATTCAGATTACAACCTCTCACTTTCGGTTATTTGAAAATGAAATCCTCTCCAAAATATTGCTATTTTTAAAACAAGCCATAGAAAGTTGGTTGCAATTTCAGTTTAATCCACCAGAAAAGACAGAACAAATATTACAACAAATATTATGGTTAAATTCAAAGATACTAATTGATATAAAACCAATATTTTTGGAAAGAGTGTTTAAAAAAGGTATAATCTTTGTAAACCATGGCACATGGTTTATGAACTGATACACAAAACAACGCTGGATTCAAAACTTAGTTTTTCAATTTAAATTATTATACAAAATTCTTGCAACCAATAATGTTTTATATATATATATATATGTAGGGGATACAACCATCCCAGCTCTGCAGATTTTACTGCGAAGAGACGAATCATTAGATCATTTGTTTTGGTACTGTCCATATGTAGCTTGTTTTTGGTCGCAAGTTCAGGAATGGCTGAAGAATTGAAACAGTTACCTGGAGCTAACTCTGCAAATAGCACTGCTGGGTGATTAAAAAAAAAAAGCCATAGTCAATCGATTAATAATACTCTTAGCAAAGAATAGAAAGGTTCAAAACTTTTGTGAAACATCACAGCACAGTTGAAAAATACAGTGGGGAAAAAAAGTATTTAGTCAGCCACCAATTGTGCAAGTTCTCCCACTTAAAAAGATGAGAGAGGCCTGTAATTTTCATCATAGGTACACGTCAACTATGACAGACAAAATGAGAAAAAAAAAATCCTGAAAATCACATTTGTAGGATTTTTTATGAATTTATTTGCAAATTATGGTGGAAAATAAGTATTTGGTCAATAACAAAAGTTTCTCAATACTTTGTGATACAGTGATCCCTCGCCACTTCGCGGTTCACTTATCGCGGATTCGCTATTTCGCGGATTTTCATAATGCATTTTTTTTTTTTTTTTGGTGCATTGTGCTCTGCATTCTGATTCGCTAAAAACTCACTCCCGCTTCTTGTATCAAAACATGCTACGAATTGTGCTATCATTTTGTCGTCTCGTGCAGTTATGTGTACGTACATAAACAGCTTGGCAAATTTACATTAAGTTGGCCAAATTATCTTGTAATTTCGAACATCTTCTAAACCCCTAATGTCGACGAAACGCCTACACGTGGAGTCACTGTATTTGTATACATGTAATAGTTGCTAATTGTAAAAAAAAAAAAGTTTTCTATTTCGCGGATTTCACTTATCGCGGGTCATTTTTCGGAACGTAACCCCCGCGATAAACGAGGATTACTGTATACCCTTTGTTGGCAATGACACAGGTCAAACGTTTTCTGTAAGTCTTCACAAGGTTTTTCACACACTGTTGCTGGTATTTTGGGCCCATTCCTCCATGCAGATCTCCTCTAGAGCATGATGTTTTGGGGGCTGTCGCTGGGCCAACACAGACTTTCAACTCCCTCCAAAGATTTTCTATGGGGTTGAGATCTGGAAGACTGGCTAGGCCACTCCAGGACCTTGAATGCTTCTTACGAAGCCACTCCTTCGTTGCCCGGGGTGTGTTTTGGGATCATTGTCATGCTGAAAGACCCAGCCACGTTTCATCTTCAATGCCCTTGCTGATGGAAGGAGGTTTTCACTCAAAATCTCACGATACATGGCCCCATTCATTCTTTCCTTTACACGTATCAGTCGTCCTGGTCCCTTTGCAGAAAAACAGCCCCAAAGCATGATGTTTCCACCCCCATGCTTCACAGTAGGTATGGTGTTCTTTGGATGCAACTCAGCATTCTTTGTCCTCCAAACACAACGAGTTGAGTTTTTACCAAAAAGTTCTATTTTGGTTTCATCTGACCATATGACATTCTCCCAATCCTCTTCTGGATCATCCAAATGCACTCTAGCAAACTTCAGACGGGCCTGGACATGTACTGGCTTAAGCAGGGGGACACGTCTGGCACTGCAGGATTTGAGTCCCTGGCGGCGTAGTGTGTTACTGATGGTAGGCTTTGTTACTTTGGTCCCAGCTCTCTGCAGGTCATTCACTAGGTCCCCCCGTGTGGTTCTGGGATTTTTGTTCACCGTTCTTTTGATCATTTTGACCCCACGGGGTGAGATCTTGCGTGGAGCCCCAGATCGAGGGAGATTATCAGTGGTCTTGTATGTCTTCCATTTCCTAATAATTGCTCCCACAGTTCATTTCTTCAAACCAAGCTGCTTACCTATTGCAGATTCAGTCTTCCCAGCCTGGTGCAGGTCTACAATTTTGTTTCTGGTGTCCTTTGACAGCTCTTTGGTCTTGGCCATAGTGGAGTTTGGAGTGTGACTGTTTGAGGTTGTGGACAGGTGTCTTTTATACTGATAACAAGTTCAAACAGGTGCCATTAATACAGGTAACGAGTGGAGGACAGAGAAGCCTCTTAAAGAAGAAGTTACAGGTCTGTGAGAGCCAGAAATCTTGATGGTGTTCAGAGATAGATGTGAGGGGTTGAGTGGAGCTGAAGGATGGGACTATAAACAAACAAAAGTTAACTATTGTAAACTATACTGTGTCTGTAAAATGTATATAGTATGTATAAGCTGTAAGTATAAGCCTAAGAGTTGTTGTCTATTACTTTACTCCAATTAGGGAAGGGATGGTAGGGTTAGGGGAAAATAAAAGGAAATGTATATACAAAAAATATATATATAGTTGTAGAAACATCTCGAGGATGATCAATGGAAACAGGATGCACCTGAGCGCAGTTTCAAGTCTCATAGCAAAGGGTCTGAATACTTATGTAAATAAGGTATTTCTGATTTTTTCATAAATTTGCAAACATTTCTAAAAACCTATTTTCGCTTTGTCATTATGGGGTATTGTGAGGATGTGGAAAAAGTCAAGGGGTCTGAATACTTTCCGAATGCACTGTATGCCCCTTCTGTGCTGCAATGCTCAGTCAGCAGGGACATGCACATCACGAGGGCCCAGAGTTTCCCCTCCCTTCATGGTCAGGAAAACCATCCAGGCCATAGTCATTTCTAGGCCTAAATCATACTCTGTGAACCAAAAGCAATAATTGACTACTCTCTATCCATCTCCATACATTTGTATCGACAGTTGTCTTCCCTTCCCTATATTTGTCCCCAGGCACAGACATCTCAGTGGGAGAGGAGGTGGCCATCAAGCTGGAATGTGTGAAGACCAAGCACCCACAGCTCCACATCGAGAGCAAGATCTACAAGATGATGCAGGGAGGAGGTGAGACATGGGTCTAAAACCATTATACAGGGCCAGGCCTTACTGTGGGCTATCAGTCCTGCTCTCTCTCTCTCCCCCCACTCATCTCCTCTATTCTCTTCCTCTCATCTCCCCCTTCTTTCTATCTACCCCCTCCATCGCTCTTCCCCATGTTCATGTGGTTTTCACATCGCTGGACAAGCAGGCAGGCAGTCATCCACATGAGTCAGTCATGCCAGCCAGCAGCCTGAGAGAATAGACTCAGTGGAACCTGTCATCAGATCACAGAGCCAGAGAAACAGCACTCGCGTGGGCTAAGCATCGCACAGTAAATCACGTTAAACCCCATAGAGAATGGGATTTAAGTGAACTAGAGATGGGTTTAAAAACAAATTAACTGACCATGATTAAGTTGAAGTCATCAGTTGATTTCCCACTTCTAACCTCCCATGTGTGTTTTTCCCTTACAGTGGGCATCCCTACCATAAAGTGGTGTGGAGCAGAGGGAGACTACAACGTGATGGTGATGGAGCTGCTAGGTCCCAGTCTGGAGGACCTGTTCAACTTCTGTTCCCGCAAGTTCAGCCTCAAGACTGTCCTGCTGCTGGCTGATCAGATGGTGAGACACAACTGATGGAGCTGGTGTTCACCAACAGCATTAAATACTCAGCTCTTAGGCTGGCTATTAGGGCCACTTGTATCTTCTGAAGTTATGGCCACTATATGCTATGTAATTTGCTTGCATATTCGCTAGCTATTATTTGTTAGCAAATTAGAAGCGCAAAGTAAAGCTCTCCAGGAGGAGTAGTGTCCACTCCTGCTCTTATGTATGTGAAAATAACCCTCTTCTTTTCCAGATCAGTCGTATTGAGTACATCCACTCTAAGAACTTCATCCACAGAGATGTGAAGCCTGACAACTTCCTGATGGGCCTGGGCAAGAAGGGCAACCTGGTGTACATCATCGACTTTGGCCTGGCCAAGAAGTATCGTGACGCCCGCACACACCAGCACATCCCCTACCGCGAGAACAAGAACCTGACTGGCACGGCACGCTATGCATCCATCAACACACACCTGGGGATAGGTAGGTTACACACACACACCCTGCACATTGATCTCACACACACACACACACACACACACACACTATTCAAACAGGGCCAGTGTGTGACTTTCTCCTCCCTCCCTCTCTCTACAGAGCAGTCTCGTCGTGATGACCTGGAGTCTCTGGGTTACGTCCTGATGTACTTCAACCTGGGCTCTCTGCCCTGGCAGGGCCTCAAGGCCGCCACCAAGAGGCAAAAGTACGAACGCATCAGCGAGAAGAAGATGTCCACCCCTATCGAGGTGCTCTGCAAGGGATACCCCTGTAAGTAGTCTGATTTATAATCTTTACTCCATCCTGATTTTAGCATAATTGATTTGGACAAAGACACTCTTACTCTGTGCTTAGGTATGGATATCTAGGATGATAAAGAATTCTCACACTTTTCTCCCTCCTCACAGCGGAGTTCTCCACCTACCTGAACTTCTGTCGCTCTCTGCGGTTCGATGACAAGCCGGACTACTCGTACCTGAGACAGCTGTTCAGAAACCTGTTCCACAGACAGGGCTTCTCCTACGACTACGTCTTTGACTGGAACATGCTCAAGTTTGTGAGTACTGCCTCTATTAATTGTTCATTAACCAGCTATTAAACAAATATACTGTTTTTATTACACATGTTAATAATCCTCTTAACCATTAGCAAATGGTACCTCAGCGGCAGTTTCCTGATTTAGTCTCCATTTCTATCCCTCTGACTGCCCCTAATTCCAAGGGGGCCAACCGTGCAGCGGAGGAGGCGGAGCGGGAGCGGAGGGACAGAGAGGATAGGCTGAGACACGGCAGGAACCCCGGGGCCAGGGGACTCCCTGCCGCCTCAGGACGACCCCGAGGAACACAGGACGGGGCGCCGCCTACCCCCCTCACACCCACCTCACACACAGGTTAGTGTCTCACTCACACACACACCTAGATGACTTTGATGTATGCTTTACTTAACAATGTGCAATGTGATTGTCTCTTGTCATGGTCAGGAAGTGGAGTATTTATTTCTCCTGTCTCTTTCTCTCTCCTCTAGCCAACATGTCTCCACGACCGGCGTCCGGTATGGAACGGGAGAGGAAAGTGAGCATGCGGCTTCACCGGGGAGCTCCCGTTAACGTCTCCTCGTCCGACCTGACGGGACACCAGGACACCTCCCGCATGTCCACCTCACAGGTACAAGCTCGTCCCGTCTCCAGCCGCACCCCCTCGGCCCTCACCAGATGACCCCTGACCTCATACGACCACCGCCCATCATGACCCACCCCTCCAGAGGAATACACAGAACAGAACCAATAAAGTTGTCTATAGTCAAAACCTGAACCAGGGATGTCTCTTGACTTTGGATCTCAATAAGGAGTAGCTGCAAGACTTAATCTTTCAAGACATGAATAAACATGAAGATGTTTATTGGAGGGAGGAACTTCAACTAGCTAAGTATAGGGACCTGGCTTTAGCCTGCCAAAGCAACACTAAAGGAAAAGAGGCAGGGAAGGAAATCCACCCCAGGATTGAGGGTACTAAAGAAAACCCTGAAACGAAATATCCCCACTCTCCTTGGATAACGTCACCCTATTCTCCTTAGCGATCTCTTTACATTTCCACCAGGTGGTCATGGGAGTTGTAGTTTTTATTCCCCACACATTGGGGTGTGATAGTAAGCATGCCATACTACAGACTCAGATCCAGTTGTCTGACTTGACCTACGGCCTTCTCTCTCCCTTCCTCCCCCAACCTCAGAATAGCATTCCCTTCGACCATCACGGCAACTAGACGCTCGCCATGTCCTCGTGTGATCGCCCGATGGCCACACTGGGTGAGTCCCGCTGAGGCTGGCGCTGGCTCCTAAAGCTCAAGGGATGCACGCCTCCAGTCCTAATGGGAAGTACTGTCTGTCTGCAGGCTCTCGTTCCTCTCTGATATACGCTATGAAAGGGAGTTGAGACCACTGGAGACAAGTAGCTTCAATGGTAGCAGCTGATGACAAAAGGAGCTACTTTTTGTTTATTCAGCTGGCCAGCCTACTCCCTTTCATAGCGTATTGATCATTCAATGAGCCTGACTTGCCAGGTCCTCTTGGACCAGATGCCTCAGTCATTCTGATGCATCTGACACTGTATCCCTTGAGAACTGGAGCGGTGCATTTCAGCCTTGTGATAACAAACCCACGTGTGGAACCAGTGTTTCCCCTATTCCTGGCTGTCACCCCACGTAGCTCTGTGACCTATCCTCAGTTCAGTGCTTGTGGCTTCTTGCAGTAGTTGGACTGTGGTAATGCCTGTCTGACATTCTCCAGCATGTGACTGCATTGGGTCTGATCCTAACTCCCCAGTCTTACCTATAGAGGGGTGGCTGTGTGTGTCCTTCAAACCCTCGTCTCCCTTGGCTTTTACCACTGCTCAATGCTGCATGGTTTTTCATAGGTCTCTGGAAATTATCACCAAGCTACAGTTTAGATTTGCTATGGCTGAAAGCATGGCGTAAACTCTGGCATATACTGCATTTTGTTTTCTTGTTCTGATGTGTGAATGACACACCAGACTAAGGCCATGTGGCCCATCGCTGCTTGCCTTCATCTCTCACCCTATGTATCACCCTCAGCATATCTGCTGCACTACATGGAAATACTGCTGTTTCTGCTGAGCAATGTGACTATTAATCTATTGTCATGCCTTCATGCATGATATGGTTTTGAAACTTGTGAAGAATATTCTGATATTTCACGTCTGGTATTTTTATTTAAATTTAAGTACAGTGTAGACGAAATTGAGTGTAAGAATTTAAGTATAGTTTAGTATATTTCATGATAAGATGGAGATTGCATGCAGAGAAGCAAGAGTAGAGATCCCCGCCTGCTGTAAATGTATGCGAGTAAAAGTTGACCCCCTCTCTCTTCTCCCCTCAGTTGGTGTCTGGCATGATTCCTGGTGGCCTCCACTCTGCAGCGCCTCGATGAGACGACCCACAATCCACCTGCCGCAGCAGAGGACTGCACCAAGCCTGGCTCAACCAATCCGCAGCCAGCTCACTAACTACTACAGAAACCATCAGAAGACCACCTCTCTCCTGACCTGGCAGTGTCTGGTTGTTCCTCTCTTTCACACTAGTTATCTCGTTCCTTGCCCACTCGGTCTCTCTCACCCCCTCTATGCTCTCTTTCTCTGTACGCTCTCCCGAACACTTACAATAGTTTCGATAAAGAAACTTGGAAATAAGGACCACATCTGCGACCTCTTTTCCCGGAGACATTTTCCATGCCTGTGCAGAGACAGTGGTCTTCGCTGCGATGGCGATCTGAGTTCTTTTAAGACTGAAACGACAAACGGAACGACAACAACTTCCACCGTTATTGCCATGGTTACTACTCCTCATCCATGGCACTGTCAATAAAGACTCATTTCTACTCCTACTGTACATTGCTACATAATAAATCTGATATGAAAAGAGCTGATCGAAGATTGCGGCTCTGTTTTAAATGGGTAGTTTTGGGTGTACTGCTTTTCATTTGTAATTATTTACAGATCTCTGTTTTCACTGACCACCAGCTGGTTTTGAGTTTTCTATTGTTTTCACAGCTCTGGTCTGTACCTCTAAAGCCATTTGTAATACATACTATTTGCATGTTTTAACACTGGGCCTCCCTTTGACCTGCTGATGTGTAGGGTTTCAACTCTAAATCACATCTGAAATTCTCCTCAATCTGTGTGTCTAGACGGGGTTTTATGGTCAAAGTCGCTCAAGTTGTATATGTATAGTAGGGCCCCTGTAAAGGTTTCCAAGACAGTCTCTCATGGACTGCTGTACAGATCTACATGCTAATTTCCTGTTATTTGTAATATTTCTAAGCTGTGAAATACCTGTAATATAGATGTTTCCTTTGGGGTGAATTTGGGTTGGGTTTCTTATATTGGGTCTGCTCAAAAGTGTGACATCATGGTCCTATAATCGGTCTGGTTCGGTCCAGTTTTGGGCTGTCATAATCATTGTCTGTGCCCAGTTTTTTTCCTTGTCTGTCCACACAGTCCAAAATGCACAAATTGAGCGCACTCACACAGAGACTTAACAGTGTCTGTTAAATGGCCATTTTAAACTATGATTTGTTTTATTGAGTGTGAACTAACATTTTTATATTTTCTTACTGGCTCCATGATGTGAACACTGGTGTTATTTGTACATGTTTTGAGAAATAAAATGGTTTTGCACTGATGTGGCTACAAGCAGAGGCACGTGCACTTAACTAAACATCATCTGTACTTACTTTGTCTATCCCCTGATAAATGAACCGAATGACACTTATCTTGTAAGAGCTGGCATGCGTCAGCAACTCCTGAGCAGAGTAACGTGCCTAATCTCTTTACTGGTCTTAAGCAAAAAGTGTGGAGCAAGAGTTTGGTATATTCAACTCAACCTCAGTCAGCAAGATGAGTCTTCTAAGGGGCTGCACAGCTGAATCGTTACCATGGTTCACCCCTATAGAACCCTTTTAATGCAGCCCTGATTCCTGACTAGTCATTTTATCATATGGTTTGACCCATTGGCAGTTTGGACAATCACTGACTCACCCTTCTATGTGTAATTAACAAAGCTACCAGCTCTGAAAGAATATTACTTTATTGCTCATTTGTATTTACTACTGTAGTTGTGTACTTTAAAAACGGTAAATAAATGAAGTACTTGTACTCCGTGTGTTTTCATTTTCAAACGTGGTTAAGAAAAGGTTTGAATGAGCGTAGTGAAATTAATTTTAATATTTAATGTCTCACCTGTGTGCAGACTACCACTAGACGCGCACACTGCGATTGCCCTATGCTGGACACCTGAGTGGAAGAGAAAGGACATAGATAATGCGATGAAGATCAGGGGTATTCAAATCTTACCCTATGAGGTCCGGAGTACTGCTGGTTCTGTTCTACCTGATAATTAATTGCACCCACCTTGGGTCTTAGGTCTAAATGAGTCCCTGATTAGAGGGGAAGAATGAAAAAAAACAAAACAGTGGAATTGGCTTTGAGTTCCCTAGATTTCATTATCATACTAAAATAGTTTGCGTAGACAAGATGGCGTATTGAATAGAAATCGGTACAAAACACCTCAAGATAAAAACATAATATTCAAATATATTCGCAGTTAATATAATTCAATCTGGATAATAACACAAAACAGATCAAAAGGCTAGAGAAATATATCGACAAATGTTACAACAACACGCAACACCCAAACATGACTGAAGACAAGCGTGGAAAGCCGATCCCCAAAAGGAAACGCGACTCATCGACTGATACAGATGATATATGCTTTTCACCACTGGGTATGGTAAGTCTGTAAAGCGACCTGTTGAAGTCGATAAATGACAAATTGGGCATACTAGAATTGGTCAGTAAAGACGTAAAAGAGTTGAAAGCGAGTCTTCAAATGAGTGACGAAAAAGCTTTGGTAATGGAGAAAGAAACCAAAGAATTAAAAGTGACAGTCTCTAAAATGGAAACGGACGTTAGGGAACTAAAAAAGGAGAACAACCTTCTGAGAGAAGCCTTACTAGACATCCAAACTAGATCGATGAGGGAAAATCTAGTACTTACGGGTATTCAGGAAAAGGAGGGAGAAATAACAGAGAATATTATGAAGGACTTCCTGCATACAGCGCTACAAATCCCACTCGAGGCTGTCGATAAAATCCAACTCGAACGTGTACATCGTTTCGGAAAAAGAGGACAGAAATATGAGCGCCCAATCGTTGCCAAATTTGCTTTTTTTAAGGATAAAGCTACGGTGAAAAGCCTAGGAAAAAGACTTGCTGGCACGAAAATAGGCATGAATGATCAGTTCCCGAGGGAGATTGTAGAAAGGCGCAAAGTTCTGTATCCAATCTTCAAGGAAAATAGATTAAAAGGGAAACGTGTTGCACTTGTTGTCGATAAACTGTATATTGACAACCAAATGTTCAGAGACACAAAGACTACTCCATGGCTATTCTAAAAGTTGTAATAGAGGAGTCAAATATTGGAGCACCTGATACTAGCAATGATAGGGATTGTATTATTAAATAACATTTATAGTAAGTATAGTATTTTATAAAAGGATAAAACGATATAACAAGCAGAATAATACATCTTTAAATGCAAATAATTAGAACATGGCTTTTTTGGCAGATGGTTGTTGTGGTTGGTCCTGTGTTCTCTCTGGCGTCCTTTCCCCCTTGCGGTGGATGCGGGTGCGTTTGCACG